AGACGTTATCATATTAACAACACGCTGAATTGGAACGTATGGAGTAAGAGACTATGAAAAATCAAGCACATATAACGATTGTCCCAATTAAGTTGGTCGTCGTGAATGAATAGTATAGTATAACTTTGGCGGATAAAGATTATTATTATGCAAATTGCAAAAGTCCATTTCTTATGGACGTCTCTCCATCCCAATTTGATTAGTGCCTACGTCTCAAGTTTCTGCCAAATGGCAAGTGTTAACTCACAAGTAATTTACTTTATCTTTCTTTATTTGCTAACTCCATTTAAATTGCTTATTTCATATTTAAAGGCTTGACTGCAGTTATCTTTAATGCAATTAATGAATTAAAGAATTAGAGCAAGATTAAAAATAAGAATTACATATTAAACTACTACATCAAAAAGTGTACAAAACAAATGCCGACATAACTATCATATTTTATAAAATGAGTAACGAAAATAATGAAAGAAAATGATGAAAAGGACCGGACTAGTCAGTCCAGATCAGTCTCTTGAAAAGGTTGTTACTATTTAGAACGAGATCAGTCCGATCTTTTTAAAAGTCGGTCTAGACTAGTCTGGCCTTCGTGAAAAAGTAGGGACCTTTAGGGAGCGGGTAGATCCGTTAGGACTGGTCCAAGTTCGGTTCAGTTCTTAATATGTAAAATTCTTAACTTTTTGTTCTCCAAAAAAATAAGCATAAAAAACTAAAAAAAAAACTTATTTTTGATTATTAAATTTTTTTCTATACTTTGTTGATTTATAACAATTACGCAACACAAATATATATTTATGGGAGAAATATATTTATGTAAAATTAAATTTAAAGTACAAATATACATGTATAAAAATTATATTTCAAATACATTAGATCTCTAGTCACAGTACGATCCTAGCTAGTCTAGTCTTTTGATAAAGACTACCCGGTTCTGGACCGTTACGGTCTAGTCTTTCATAGAAATGGGATCAAATGAGACTACCAGTCCAAGACCAGACCGGTCTCAAGGTTTAATTCGGTCCCATTTTTTCTAGTCTCAATCTCAATATATCCCGATCAATCTTTTCCGTCCTAGTCTTTATGCTCGTCACTAGTTACAAAAATACATCAAAAGTCCACAATTGATATAGAACAAGTACACCAAAAGTCTTCATATACTATATATTTAAAAAATATTTATCTATTAATAGCCAAAATGTAATCTTAATTTATTTTAAAAAAATCAAACTGTAATTTGTTTTATAGGAGGGCGACACTACCTTTTGTAGTGATAAGTTTGGACAAAAATAATCTGGTGTTACATAATACCCATATTTTTATTAATATCCGTATTGGTTCGCAGTGACAATTCGACGTGCTACCTAAAAAAAAAAGAAATCCAAAATTCCAAATAGCGATTGCTTGCGTTTTCTTCGATATAGGTCTTGTTTGGGAACAACATTTTCGATTAGCGTTAGCGTTTAAGATAAAAATTTAACGGTGTAGATTAATTCTGAAAACGTTATCGCTAAAGGCTATCGTTGGATAACCTTTTCAAAACGCTAACGCTAATCTCTAACGCTAATGTCAAACGTGGCCATAATGTCTCCTCTCGCCTAGTGTAATTGTAGTAAAAAAATTTATGGATAGATGAAATACTCATCTAATCATCTATTGATTTTCTTTTTAGTTTTTTTTTGCATTGTCAAATGAATATTACCGCCCGATCCGGTCACGGTACCAGTACTAAAGGGTGGCGATACCGGAACCTGCGGTTCCGAAACTGAAAGTGTCCCAGAATTGTACCGTGTCCACCCCTACCTCAAAGAGGGCAAAACACTCAATATCTTACCGCTTTAGCCACCTTTGGTGACCATTTTGTTAGAATACTTGACACAATATTTAAACTAGATGCATAATTATTTAATTCATAAATAAGGGTCTATTATAAATTTTTAGATATATTAAATTCTAAAAGTATGTGATAAAAAATAAAATTTAAATTCATTTGATTCTTAATACTTCGTATATCTAAAAATTGTACGAAATACATATTTTATCTTTCTGAAAATAATTATTGTTTACGTGTAAAGATTCATATTGAATACCCTGATGTATTCCAATTTTTTGTCGCATAACTAAAGGTACAGTTTTAATTTTGATTTTTTGGTAATTTTTATTTATTTATCTTTTATTAAATAAAATAAGTACGTCACTCCTTATTTCATAAATTTTTAACGATAAAAGAGTGAGATTTTGAATTGTTTAATAAACTAAGTTGTGCCTTTATTTATAGGATGAATGGACATGACATTGGAAATCGATGACATGTGATGATCCGGGGATGCTCCGATGCCTCACTCTTAAAATTGTCAGTTTCGCCTAACTCTCCTACCCTTTTAACACACTCCCCATTCATTTTGGAATCAATGAAAAATTAGTGAACAAGAAACTACTCCCTCTGTTCCTTTATATTTGTCCACTTTCATTTTTACACACCATTCAATGCACTTCTTTAATCCATTTTATCTTATAATTTGTATATTAAAAAATTATAAAAATTATATATTAATAATCTATATGTTAAGATAAATCAAACGAGATCACACATGACTATATTTAGGCTTACACGTTGAGGGAATTTGATGAGTCAAAGAGCTTAGATGAATAGTTCTAAAAATCAAATGTGGACAAATACGGGGGGACGGAGGGAGTATTAATTTTGCGAATAGTGATACCCTCATGTCATTTCTAATCTCGATGGAAAGGGGATATGGAGAGGGGATAATCTCAAATGAACCTACACGAAATTAAGAAATTTGATTTGTTGTGCTCTGCCAGAATGAATTCTCTGTGCCTCGAAATTGGGTGCATTCTTTTTTCTTTTCTTTTTTTTTTTGAAAAAAAGTGGGGAGCCAATAATGAGCTGTCATTGTCGACCACTTCACTGCGTCGTCTACATTTGGGATTTCTCGTGACCACTTTCCACATTATTTCCCCACTCTCACCTTTTTAAAGATCTAACCACTCATTTCTACCTCATAATTATATTATCATTACATCTTTTATGATTCGATTTCAACTAATTATTCAAGTAAAATTTGGAATGCAAAAATGGTGAGGCAAAAATGGAATACCACACGCTGACGTGGAGCATTTCAATCAATAAAAAACTGTCCAGTCAACGAGTGGCACGTGAGTGGAGTGGCATGCTTGCAGTGGCAAGTCATTGTTTTCATCATTTTTTTCATATTTTTTCCATATTTGAATTATTAAAAATTATGTTACCTATATATTTTTATCATGAAAATATTTTACGTAAATAGCACTAAAACATAACAACTTTCCCTAAATAGTATCAAATGTATTTTTTTTCCAATGTTGCAGTTTTAGTCATTATTCAATAGTCATTATTCAATTAAATGTTCGTCATCACTGGACATTATGCACATTATTAAGTGGTATTTAGAAAATAAAACAATATAAGTATTATTAAGGAAAATGACTTAAATTTTAGTGCTATTTAGTGCAAATATTTTTATGGGAATAATTTAATCAATCAAAAATAGTCCAGTACAAGAAAGTAGATTGACATGTTATGCAGTGACAAATCACTTTTTTGTCACTTTTTACATTTTTATGACATATTTTAATTATTAAAAATTATTTTAATTTTCTTTTTTCATAAAAGTACATGTACTCTGTTTTTAAAAAATTTGCATCTTTTTTGTGCAAAAAAGAAAAATAGAATAAATAATAAAAAAGGGTTGCCTCGCTCATTACACGCAATGCGTGGTGGAATTCTGTTGCCATGCTTGGCATCCTTGGTTTGCAGCTGATGTGGCAGTGCGAGGGAGCCAACCTCCACGCCACTAGAGATGCTCTAATAGAAGGAAAAGAAATACTCCGTATTTTAGAATAAATTTCATGAATAGTCTCTAGCTATTATTCTTTTCAATATTTAGTATTTAATTTAAAAATATTACCTAGATGCTGGTAGCCAAATTTTAAAAGACTATATAAACAAAATATTATGGGAAAAAATATTTTGACATATATGACCTAAAACCTAGGTGACTATTTATTGAGTAGTTTTCAAAAATTAAAAACCATTTTTAATACTATCTTAGAATTGAAGAATAAACTTAGAAATTAAACAACATGCAATTAAAAATTATTAATGAAATACGAGAACTCGAGAAGAAGGATGCAATTAAAAAACGAAAAAAATACTCTATCCGTTCCAAATTATTTGTCATATTTGCTTTTTCAACAATCGCGGAAACTTTTGTTTGTTCCTACATTTTCATTGATTATTTGATAAAATAAAATATTCTTGACACATCTTATTTCGAAGAATTTTTCATTAGTTTTTTGATATATAATTTTTATTTTTTATTTCTTCACCAATATGTAAATAAAATGAATTAAAAAAACTTGATATTTTACCTTGGTAATAGAAATGTGACAAATAATTTGGGACGGAGGGAGTAATAATGTAACGACTTGATATTTTGGATAGAGAGCCAATCTCAATCTTGGCACTGGTCACCACTTTTGTAACATGACCGTGCCTCTTTTAGTTATCTATCTACTTCTCCATTTCATTGTCTCATTTTATCAATTATGAGTATATAAAAATTAAACGCTTGGATTCATTTTTTTCAAGGGTGGTCATCCTCTAAATGTTTACATTTAAAAATATCACCTAAGTTTATTAAATTCACACCTATCAAAAAAATTGACCATAAAAGTTCAATTCAGAATTTTATTTTAAGTCAAGAGAGATTAAAAGATAGCTAATGTTACTTTTAAGGAAAATAATAGAGTCACAGGCACATAGTTTACAAATTTCGCCAACTTGTCATTCGTGGATTTTAAATTAAATTATATCTTATTATTTGGGGACATTTTATTTCTAAAAAAAGTTAAAAAAGTAAGGCTATGAATTTTATGAATTGTTTATTCGTGAGTCAATCAATATTTAAATAGATAATTATTGAACTTAAATGTGGGGAGAGCTCTAATTTCCCTATAAATATAACCCGAACCAATTCAATAAATTCACAGCCTCATTATTGGTAGCACGAGAGAGATAAACCGGAATGGCGTTGCCCAACCAACTTCTTCTTCTTCTTCTTGCTTTTCTTGTTTCCCTATCATTATTCTCCACAAATCATTCGTCGCCGGCGGCGGCGGAGGCGAGCGTCAGCGCCGGAACCACAAACGCCGACTTCATCAAAGCATCGTGCGAATCGACGACGTACCCGCATCTCTGTTACACCTCCCTGTCGAGCCACGCGAGTGAGATCGGAGCCGACCCGGAAATTCTCGCCCAGACGGCCCTGACGGTGGCCGTCCAGAGCGCCAACTCGACCGCCGCCGCCCTGTCCAGAATGGCGGCGCGGAGTTTCAACTTCACGCACCGGGAGGCCGGCGCCATGCGGGACTGCCTGGAGGAGCTCCGGGACTCCGTCGCCCAGATCAGGAACTCGATGAAGGAGATGAAGCAGCTCGGCGGCCACCTCAGCGGGCCGGAGTTCGCCATGAAAATGAGCGACGTCGAGACGTGGGTCAGCGCCGCCTTGACCGACGAGGACACCTGCTCCGACGGATTCGCCGGGAAAGCGCTCGACGGCAACCTGAAGACGGCGGTGCGGCAGTTGATACGGAAGGTGGCGCGTTTGACCAGCAACGCTTTAGCTCTCATCAACAGCTTCGCCGCTCACCACCAGTGAGTTGTTTCAATTCCACCACTCCCATTGTTGCGACATAAAAAAAAAATCAATTGGAAACAAAGTCAATCTTCATTCATAAATAATTGATCATTACAATTTTTATTTACATTAAAAGTGAAATGAATGTAAATATGACTCATATTAACATTCATTCAACTTTTGATGAATTTTAAAAATTATGATCATCAGTTAAATATGAACAAAAGAAGAGTACTATACAAAAAAGTGTGTATTTTTACAAGGTATTATGAAGCTACTAGAATGGTGACATGGTGCAATGTGCAATTCCATCCACTAATTTGTGAACATTTTTCATTGTGTGATTATTGTAATAGAGTATTGGCTTTGAAACAAACTTGTATATAACATATTTAAAAAGAAAATTTGGGAAACACAAGATTTTTACAAATATCAGTTTTTATGCTTCTTTTATTAAAGCCAAATTTACTTCTCACTTATTACGGAGTACATTTTTGTCTCTTTTGAGGGGACCCATAAGGATGAGGTTTCTCTTTTTCTTTTTATTTTGCAGACGATGGGATATTGGGTTGAATGATTAGGCCAGGCCTATTACGAAGGGGCAAATTATTACATGCAATTAACGTTAACGATGGGAAAAATACTGATTTGACTCTCCTTTAATTTTGTCTAAAAAGAAATATTGTAATCTAGAAGAGAACGGAGTGAGTAAGTGAGAAAGTTCATGTGGTACATCATAAATCACTCTAACTAAGGAGTTCAAAAATCCAAAGTCCAATTCACAATGGGCCCTACAAAAAGAAGAAAAGGAGATTTGTGAATTCCCGGCCTCCATTTGACCACGATATTAAAATAAATTAAACAAATAATACTCTCACGTTTACAAACAAACTTTACGTTCATTATTCACATGGTTAAATTTTATTAATTTGTTGGTTTATTTTCGTCACCCATTTGATAAAATAATATAGTCATGTCACATCTAGTTTTGTAGACCTTTTGATATAGTTTTTTAATATGTAATTTTTATTTTTCAATTCTACACCATTTTTCATATAAAATGATTTGAAAATAACTTCAGTCAAACATCGTAACGCTCAATGTAAAGTTTATTTGTGGACAGAGGAAGTATCTAGTTATACTCGAGCGGGACAATTCATTTACACCTTCTATCAACGAGAACTCTTCTCGTTATGACTTTTTTATCAAACAATGACACTCTTTGACTATAATTTGTGAGAAAAATATATTGAATTATAATATAAATTTAATATAATTAGGTTCATCTTAGGATATTATTTTGATGTATCAAATATTATAACATTTTCTTATTTAGATTATGCTTAATTTTTGGTAAAAATGTCACTATTTGACTAAAATAGACAACAACAACCTAGTTGAATCGCACTACAGTAGGGTTTGGGGAGGGTGTGTGTACGCAGACTTTGCTCCTACTCGGAAGTAGAAAGGCAAAACAAGAAGAATTTTCAAAATAGACAAAACAAGAAGAATTTTCAGGGATAAAGGAATTATTATACTTCTCCTATTCGAAACAAGTGTCGATTAGATGTAGACTTAAATGTATCTCCATTCATTCAAAATTTAATATAAAATAAATATCAGTAGACAATCACTCTATTCTTAAAAGCAGGGGAATTTTTTTCCCGCCCAATGCACTATAATCCTGCATCGTTGATATCAATGTACGAAAAAGATCTGCGGTTATGATTGGTTGTGTATTATTACCAATTTAGAAGGATATATTAAAGGAAGGAATTGAATGTTTTTACCACCGTGTGTTTTTTTTCTAGAAACATAAAGGGTGTTATTGATAATTTTTTATTTTTTTACAACCGTGTAAAAAAAGGTAATTTATTCCTATGAAAATTAGCATTTTAAAAAAGGAAAGCTTTAAAGGAGGATATAACGTATATATTTACAACCGTGTTTTTTTTTGTAAACAGATTAACAAGGAAAAAAATTGAGAAATAAAAATTTACTTTATATTTTGATATCATTATTATTTTTTAAATATGTGATAAAAAAGGAAATTTATTCATACAAGAAAAGAGTAGTAATATTTATTATAATTATTATATTTATTATAATTATTATAATTATAATAATTATAAAATGGCCAAAAGGTAAGTAAATAATTGTGATGTTAAAATGGTAAGTGGCTGAAATTGTGGATTTATAATTATTAAAAAAGGTATAAATATAATAATAGCTATTATTTTTATAATAATTAATTAACGTATTGTAAGTGTGAAGTTAATATAGCTATTATTTTTATAATAATTAATGTGAGTAATATAAAATGGTAAGCGTGACGTTAATATAATTATTATATATATAATAATTAACGTATTGAAAATTGGAAATAATTAAAAAAGGTAAGTTATAAAATTGCAAAGCGTAAGGTTTTTAATAAAATTGGAATCAATGTATTATATGCTAATAATTAACCAACGTTATTTTGAATACTGATTGGAAACGTCTGAAATTATGGTAAAAATAAGTAACTATCATTTTAACCATCGGAAGTTAATATAATTATTTTTATAATAAT